AATGATGAGACAGGGAGATGAAAGCCAAGCAGGCAAGCCACAGATGTCCCCACTGAAGGGGTGAGAGCAGCTGCATTTAGAACACAGCCCCTTGCAGTAGAGGTGGCTGATTTTGCCCCTGTGCCTGTCTTTGGTCCTAAGTGCTGCCTGCAGGCTTACGGTTTGCCTGGTGTCCACTGGATCAGGTGAGCAGACCCTGATATTGTGCACAGAGACACCTACATGCTGCATGAAGAGAGCATCCCCAGCTTGCCAGGGTATCTCCAAGTGTCCAGAGTGCATTACCCAAATCTGGCTCACATTGCCCAGGTCTGAATCAGTGAAGGCAGGTATACCTAAGAACCATCAAATGTGGCTTTGAAATGACAGAAACTGATTTCTCACAGATCTGGAGGCTGTCAGGCCAAGATCAGGGGGCCAGGATGGCAGGGTCTGGTGCGGGCCCTCCCCCAGGTGGCAGCCTGCACACTTCTCATTATATCCTCACCCTGTGCCTTCTCCACAGCTTCTAAGCCCTCCTCTCCAGTCTTGGTGGAGCTGGGGAAACCACAGTGAGCACCAGAAAGGACCCTACACTCCTGGATTCCATGGTCTAGAAGAAGGGCCCTAGAAAGTAAAAGCAAACTGCTGAAGAAATAGGTAAAATTCAGAATTCAGGGGGGAGAGAGCATAAGGGTGTTCCTGGGTGGTAGTCAGAATGGGCTTCTCGGAGGAGGTGTTGTGGGAGCTGAGAATTTATTGATGGACAGGAGCTGCTGGGCCAAGAAGTGGTAAGTGCAGCACAAAGGCGCTCAGGCAGCAAGCAGCTGGCAGCCTCTGAGGGGGCAGGGGTGACATGGAGATAAGTAGGGACAGCCCAAGGACAGAGAGGGAGAGGTGGGCCACCCTAAATCTGAGTCTTCCCCCATGGCCTCCTCCTGAGGAGGTTGTAGGCAGGACTTCTGATCTGTGACCATCAGACACCTTCTCTATAAAGACCCCAAAGCCCCTTGAAGGCCATGCTGTGCTGAGCTTGGAGAGAGGCAATTTGGGAAGGAGGTGCTGGGTCTGTTTGCCCCGAGCTCTGGCTGTCTGCCCTCAGCTTCCCCAGTGCAGAGTGACAAAGCACACTTTTTTCTCTTCTTGTTTTTTTTACTTGATAACTTTTTAGAGCACTTTTAAGCTCAAAATTGAGAGGAAGGACAGAGATTTTCTGAATGCCCCTGTCCCTGCACAGCCTCAGCTTCTGTCACCACCACTGCCCA